TATCACAGCTTCCTAGCCTTTTTTAATTAATTCAGTTTTTTAAAAACATTACAAAAAATCATCTGTTGTGGATAATTTATTGTTGATAACAATGTACATGGGATTTAGGAAAAATGTATGTTTGAAATCAATTTCGTTTTTATCAAGTCTTTCAAATGAATTCCCTCCTTGCTGTCAGCTGATTGCAATGTTACCACATTAATCCTCAAGTCAGACAGAAATGCAATTATTAATACAGCTGTACTATGTTCAAAACTTACATTAGTTTTACATCAAAAATAAGATAATACTGTGTACTATCTATGGAAAAGTTTTGTTTCACAATTTCTACATTTTTTTCTCGGTTATGGGCAAAAAAAGAGCTGCACCGACCATCTTCACCATATGTTAAGATGAACAACTTTCAACAACAATATCTCAAAATCTAAAAAAATATGACGCACAGAGGGAGCACTGTGTAATATGCTATAAAAATTTCAAGTACATCTGTGCATTTTAGTAAACCCGATATACTTCCTTAACTGTGTTGTAAACTCATTTTAATAACAAAAAAAAAATAAAAATAAAAATCAGAATTCTTCGAACATGTAAGAGATCTTTGTCCATATAAATTCCATTATGAGGCTCTTAGTGGCACTGACCCCTCACATGTGATGTAAAATGACATTTTTTTTTCTAATTTCAATACTCTGTATCTCAAACATTAAGCGAGCTATGACCCACATTCTTATGACACTGCTTAAAATAATTTGTTCTATTACCCCTTTACAGTTTGAAGGAGAGCACTTATTTCAAAAACACCTTGCATATCTAAAAATTAGTTGACCGCCGACTGTCATATCGTGTGTCCCAGGGATAAAAATGATACAAGAACTGATACAAAAGTAGAGAAAAAACCAAAACAATAGTGAAAAAAAAAATGTTAATAACTGATGAGTACTAATAAAAGAATTACATCCATAACTTGTTAAGATAGAATGTGAAAAGAACCCATTTCCTCTGGTAGCAATAAGAGGAACGTGAGATTCAATTCTGGACAGCAGGTAGGAACAATATGGTTAAAGTAGATAATAATATAAAATAGTTTGAAATCTTTATTTTCTGTATCCAAATTTCTAATAAAATGGCACTTCAGGAAAAATACAATAATTATAGACATAACTAAATGAGTTTCGATGTTTCTGGATCTGAATGGTGATGTAAAAAAAAACAGACATTTACATTCGTAATTATTATAACACACAAACAAAGTTTTACCACTTGGAGAGATGCAATGACAATATTCATCATGATACACATTATTTGCATTAATTATTACAAAAATTACCTAGATAGTAAGGTTTCATAAAACACGAAAAGCCAGAAACAGTTTAATCTTGCTTTTACTTACAACAAAAAGACAATTACTTTGGAAGGATTAAAAGTCATAGAATGTTTGCGTCACCAATTTGAAAAATTATCCTAAGCCAAATTTTGTCAAAATTGGAAGTGTTGATTTTAAATTTACATGATCTCAAAACAATAAAATTTGATTATCACTTGAAAACATATTAAAGAAAAGAAACCACAAGTAATGCCTAGAAGCACTCCTGAAACCCCTGTGATTTTGTTGGATATGAAATTTCCAAACCTAACCATCGGAAAACTCTCTGAAAGATAACTTTTTATCCATTCTAGAAGCAGATCACAATCTACAACTATAAGTTTGTGAATTGAAATATCGTGATTTACGCCATCGAAAACTTTGTATTTTCTTTTTATAACAAAAATTTAAAAAATCACTTACCATCGATTTCCGTATCTGTACTACTTCCATCACAGTGTACCCTCTCGATGACTTGCTTTCTCGCCAACTTACAAGGCGGCGGACCGTTGCTATCGATGGCGATCTGCCCAGCCTCTTCCTCATCAATCTCGACAGCATCCAACTCTTCACTGTCGCTTTTATGACTTTCCGACTGACCAGAACTTTCACCCTAGCACAAAAAAATAACATTGTAACTACCACGAACTACCAAACAAAATTTAAAATACTGACATGTTCTTCTTCAGAATTACTAGGATCTAAGCTCACGCTATTCTCCGAGGATGTAGTGCACTTGCGTAGAACTATTCCCGCATTCGACGCCGCAACGTTAATCAGTCCAATCTCGGGAGCGCCTCCACCTCTTGACCAAACAGCTTTTATGAGGGCAGAAGCAAGGTACAATGTCTGAAATTGTTCTGTCTTAAGTAAAGTCAATATTTTAATAAATTTGTTCACCTGTTCCGTATGTTCCTTCGGTTCTAACTTTGTAAGCAAATTGTATAAATGCAAAGTAGGAGCAGCCGCCAAATGTTTTACAAGTCCAGGTAGCAGATCGTGTACCGGTTTTGAGCAGTGTTTTAGTTGTGCAGCCGCCCAGATTACGTCCATATGTTCACATGTAATCCTACCTTCCATCGCAAGGAAATTTAAAATAATATGACTTTGTTTTATAACCTGGTTAGAAACAAATTATGTCATTTGAAGGTAAAATAAAAGTTTACAGACGATTTGTTTACCTCTACATGTAAGTTTGGACCAAAAATATGTGAAATGATATTGTTGTTGATGAGCCAATCCGCCATATGTCTAGGAGCTGCTTCCGCTTCAGGAAGAGACTCTCCCACGCATATTTCTGCTAACACTCCGATCTGATTGTTGATTTGAGTAATACCAGCTAGACGCATGGTTAATGTACTAGATGTAAAATATTTGAATGCCAAATCTAACCCATCGACGTCAAAAGCCACTGGAGAATCTAAAGGGTCTTTTATGGCATTCCACATGAAATCTGTAAGAAATATATGTGTATTATTTTGCTTAACACAGAAACAGTATTACACACCCGCCATGCTTTTAATGGTAGGAGTTCGTAGATCTTGATCGGAGAGTTTGCACATGTAACGTAATACACAGGATCTTAAAGGTACCAACATCGACACCATGCTTTTATAATTCATCCAAAGTTTCAAATTGCACACTACAAAATTGTAAAATAGTGATAACTTGTAAATATATAACTTGTACTCACCAATCGAAATCATAGCATGGGCAGTCGACACAGGTAACAATTCGGGAGAAAGTTGTGTAAAACAGGTGGTCATCGCCAAAAGACCTCCCATTTTACAAAACCAACTAACATTTTTTAAAAGATAGATTGGTATTTCAGAATCGTGCAAATCACAGAATAAATTTAGATTTTGCATCTCTTGTTGAGTGAGTTCATCTAGCTTGGCTTGAATAGTATGCTTGTAAGCTACGTACAATGGAAAATTAAGCAGAAATATCTTGGAAACTAATATCAACAACTTATCCCGTTCTATAACTTCAGTGTTCTCTTTGCTATCTTCTGGAGGCTTATCCTTCTTTTCCTGTTTCTCCTTCTCTTCTTTTATATTACCCGACTCGGAACCTTTCTCTGCAAGACTTTTCAATTGACTAGCTGCCATGTAAATAAGACCCTGTGTGACATAGCTAAATCGTTCTAGATTTTTTGGATCTCGATAACAACACATGCACTGCCTATAATCATTTATGGTTACAATTGTGAATAAATTTTAAATTATTCTTACCTAGCAGGCCAGGTTTGAACATAAATAAAAACAATATCTACATCTCGCTTTGTTAAAGTTGGTTGCTCATTTGTATCTCTGCAAACTTGTGCTTCATCTGAAATATTGAATGTTTTAAATAAAATCACAAAAAGTAAACAAATCAAGAGAATCTAATATTTATTATATTTTATGGTAGACCAATAATTTCATGAAATATTTGAAATGTGTAGTAGTGAAAATTTCCGGTGGTAAAAGCAACAAAACTTACATGAAACGAGCAGTTGTAAGAAATCAGAACATGCATCACACATATTTGAGATAAAAACAAAAAATTTATGATTTTTTCATAGCAGTTTAACTTATTTCCAAATAATACAACTAGTTTTTATGTTGAAATTTACAGGTTTTATTAAATGGCAATGATTTAATGACAAACATCCACCATTTTGAAACGTATTTGGATCTGAAACGTCAATTTGAAGTTGTCCTTTATTCATTCTGGCCAATTTACCTAAACTTCACGCGATCGAAACACAAATTTTCAATCGAACAACATAGATAATTTGAATGTGTTTACGATTACGTCACAGAACCACAATTTATAATTTCGACCATTTAAGTATATTTACTAAAATAAACATTGAATTAAAAATGGTAAAAAATATAATAGGTACATATATTTTTTAATTTTACCTATGTAAAAATCTCGAATTGTCTAGAGTGGTTCTATGAAACTTAAACCTACCAATTTTAATGCTTTAGGGATATTGATCGTTATGTAACCTTCATATACAGGGCGTCACAGTATTCCAGTGATAAAATTATAGTTTAGTCCGACTAAGAATAAGGAAAAAATGCATAAGCACCTCGTGTTTGAGATACAATGATAAACCTCTTATTACTTTCATACATTTTTTTATCACAATTTTCAATGATACATTAAAAACTTTTTTAGAACCGCTATGCACCCACCTAGTACCTAAAAATTTTTTAATTACGATGACTTTTACTTAACTTTTTAATGTTAATTTTTTTTGTAACTTAGTTTTCAGATTGTACACTAATGTACACAAGAGACAATAACAAATGTCTATTTGAATGAACTATCTTTTCAACAATTTGTTTTTTGATTCACGTTATTATCTTTATTATTGATTGAAATAGTTAAATTGCACCATTTTTTTTTATTTAAAAACTAACATAAAACAAAGAAAACAGTGACAAGAAAATCTTACCATTTCCGTCAGTTTCATAATGATGCCGCATACTCGAAACGAGATGTTAATCCTTTCATGATTAATGTTCTATATTTCTCTGAGAATGTTTTCGGTTTTATCAGGGGAAGCAGGGACAGCTAGACGATTTTTAGTATATCTACAGATATTGTTTCATTTTTTTTTGTCAGATGGGCAATAAAAATTCCTCCGCTTTTGAAAATTTCCATTTTAGGAAACTTCCCTTGAAGAAATTTTGACTATTCGTAGTAAATTCCTCAGGAGACTTTCTGAGAAAAGATACGGAGCGGCTCAAATTAGAAAAAAATGTGTTTTTTTATACCTAACAATATGCCGTTTAGAAAGTTTTAAAATTCCGGGTAGTTGGAGATATTCAGAAAAACCCAAAATTTTGCAAAATTTATTTATTTTGTTCCTGGCTTTATTTGAAAACGAATTTTAAAATAAATTGCATATTTACATTGCCACTTTTTTTGCTCTGTCCAATGGCATCAACGTTTTTGCAGTCCGACGTTTCGTCTTTGACGGGCCATCATCAGGTTAATTTTTTTAAATACGTTGCTATTTTTATGACCTGATGATGGGCCCTCGAAGGCGAAACGTCAGATTGCAAAAATGTCGACGCCATTGGATAGAGCGAAAAAAGTGGCAAAGTAAATATGCTATTTATTTTAAAATTCATTTTCAAATAGCCAGAAAAAAAATAAAACAATTTTGCAAAATTTCGGGTTTTTCTGGATAGTGGTAGTATAAATTTATTATTCATGTACGCCTAATTACAGGATATGGAACGTCAGATAAACAAGGAGGTAAAGAAACAGATTAAAATACTACAACTATTAAAACGAGTGCACATTTACAATAAGTTACAGGTTAAAAATAACAATGTTAGTCTGCAGATATCTCCGGAACTACCTACAATTTTAAAACTTTCTAAATGGCATATTATTAGGTATAAAAAAATACAACTTTTGAACCACTCCCATCCTTATCTTGGACACACTGTATTTTTCAATTTGTATTTTCTCAAAAACGTTTTCAGATATGGTGGCCACTATATTTTAAAAACCACTCTACAGATTTAGATGAATTTATCATATAGCATGTTCTAGGTACTAAAAACTTGCGCCTAAATGAAGGATTTTAAGCAAAACTATTTTTAATAAACAATTAACGAGTGCTCTTTCTCAAAATTCGTAAAAAAATTCCAGAGCCCCCCATTTTGTGAAATTTGACAAAAAAATCCTACATCGGGCACATGATAAACCATTATTTTTTGCATTGCATTGCAGATAAACCATTAAGTATTCATGGCCACCCCAAAGCACTTTTGTAAGAGGGATTTTTTTTTAATTTCATGAGTTACATAAAATATAGTATAAGAACTTGGTTTTATGTTATTAAATAAAAAACCACTATACAACAGTCCAAAAATCTTGAAAATGTCTATGTTTCGACACCTCTAACTGCACCCTTAAAGCTTTGCTATATATTTTTAAGTGGTTTGTTGAATAACTCGAAAGAAAACTTTTAACATTAATTTTCAATTATGGCAATTTGATGTACAACAAAATAAGTAAAATAAGCTATATAATGTCATTGGTAGAATATTGCAACTCCTAGCATGTTTATACAGGGTGTTTCAGAAAGACCTCCCATAAGCACAGGGGGCGACAGTACGACAAAAAAATAAGAATTTCTTGTCATACCATAACTAGCGCCCTCTATGAAATACCCAAAAAATAATTAAACCAGCGCATTTGACGTCCTTAAAAATCCCAGAGTACCAAATTTCATAAAAATATTTCGCACCATTTGGGAATTTTTGTAAAAATTCTATTTAAAAAAATTTATTTTGTTTCTCTATATCTCGAGAACAAGAAGAGATAGGCATATAGTGCATAAGACAAAAAAATCTTATTTTTTGTCGTACTATCACTCCCTGTATTTATGGGAAGTCTTTCTGAAACACCCTGTATATTTTTCGAAAATTTGGATGTAATTCTCCAGGGGCTGTCATTTATTTCATTGAAGAGAATTAAATGACTGGTAGCTTGTACATAAATTAGAATTTATTCTTCTGTCATTCTCCATGGTCTACAAAATGAAAATCAAATACAAAATACAATAAACGATACACAATAAAATCAAAGATGTATTCACGTGTATTTTCCATATCTCATGTTATCGGCAAATACAAAAACAAAACTACACATATACAGTGTCTACATATTATGTGAATATTTATACAAATAGCATAGGTACATAAGATAATTTAATTTTAGTTAATCAATAAACTAACTATTACTGGTTTAAAACTCGAAGGCCTTACGGTCCGCCGAAGGAGGGCGGCCCTTAACGTGCCGTCTTACGGTCCCCGGGGACTGACAGGCGGCATAAGATCAGTCATGCCACTGCGCATCGTAGGTAAGTCAATTTACCTATCTCTAAGTAGTGTATGCACAGGCAGAACTAGGTACACAGCGTGTGAGTCAGTACGAAATTTTTTAATCTAAAGCCATATGTACAATGAAATCCAAACACCTACAACTTCCCACAAAATCATCAACTTCATTATCCTTCCTTTCAGAAATCGCACGATATCTAAGTCAATCATAAAAAAATTTTTTACAACTCACAGTGCAATTCTCATAAACTACATACACACTGCTATCCTGCTCTATGACAAGTGTTATTAGAGATACGGCAGGTCCTGCTTGCAAAAAATTTAATTTCAAATTGGTGTCACACAATGTAGATAAAAAAAGTGCCGAGGAAAAGTAATTTCTTATTTGTTTTGTCATACAGGGTGTCTAGAAGATATGAGCAAAAAATTTAGAAGACAATTGCACTCATAAAAATGTATGTTTCTTTTCCGAAAGCTCAATATTCACGTGTTGCAAAATGACCATCGAATATTTTAAATGGTCAAATTCCTTCTACAGTTGTTAATAATCATTTTTCTTTTTTATATATTACTCGAAAGTAACATTTCCTTTCGAATTACTACAAAATGTTTCAAATAAGAGAATTCCAATATACAGGGTGTTTCATAATGATGCGCAAATATTTTAAGGGGCCGTTTAGAAAGTAATTTCAGAGGGGGTATTTCCAATATATTTTTTCGATTTGAGCCCCCTGAGAAAATATTCGTATCTCAAAATGTCCGAAAAAATTAGTTTTTATTTATTTTTATTAAATTTTTAATTCGTATTTGCTTAGCTTTTCCTATTGATAAAAAAGAATTAGATAAAAATGCCGCTTTTGCAAAAAACAAGTAAAAAATGACAAATCGCATATATACTACATATTTAGTAACTGTTACATTAATTATGTGTGATCGGCAAGAAAAAATAATTTATTTTTTTGCTCGTATAACTATTAAGTATGAAAAAATGAGAATCTTGTTGGAATTGGCTAACGTAGAAAAAAGTTCTGAGAAAATTAAAACAAAGGGGTGCTAATTGCTTTCACTCAAAGACATAAACCAGAAAAAAGACTACCAAAAAATTCCACTCAATTAGTTGTTAACGTGTACCAAAATTGGAATTTCTAAGTTTAATCGTTTTTGCGAAAAAATAAAATCTAATTTTTTCAGCCATTTTGAGATTTGAATATTTTCTCAGAGGGAGCACAAATCAAAAAAATGTATTGGAAGTACCTCACTTAAAATTGCTTTCTAAACACCTCCTTAAAATATTTGCACATCGTTATGAAACACCCTGTATATGAGATGCAACAAGAATGAGAAAACCGTCATATTAAAAAATACAATATGTAATAGACACAATAAAAGACCAGTTTAAAGAAACATTCTCCGGTAGCTTACCAGTTCTTAAATTAGCCATTATATCATTATCAAAATAACCCTAAATGATTAAAAAAATTTATTCAAATTTTGTTTTTTTATTTGCAAGAATAAACATAAATAGCTTAATATTTTAAAATCATTTAAAAAATCTTATAAAAGTGTCTTTTTGTTTCAACTTGATAACATTGACCATTTCTGAGAAAAAAATGCGTTTAGTATTTTGAAATAGTTATAGTCAAAATTTACCTATTTCGTGGTCAAAATGATTCAAATTTTGAATATAAAAGAAAATTATGGGTGCCTGGAACTGCACACAACACGCTTTACCTGGTAATAGAACACTTCAAAACAAGAAATAACGTTTAGATAAACATAGGTCAAGGAACATTTCGTTTCCAAGAAACACCATTGAAATTAAAATAAAAAATATCATATTTATTTAAATATCTCTTGAAATGTATGACGTGATTCAATTAAAGGCCGATTTAATACACAAATGCTGAGAGATACGGTCACTAAGAACCCCAGATTTTCAACGCTACCGAGATGTTTTTTATCAAATATATTTTTAAATATAATGTGACCATCATAAGTTAACAATTTTTTAAGGGATTATCGCTCAGAAAATTGGAAATTCCCATGCCATAAACTTTTTTTGGGCTTTTCAAATTACATATCTAAAATTTAATATTTAACAAATCAATCCTATAAATTTTTGAAAAATGAATTCGGCTTATTTTTCAAATAAAATGGAATATATTTTCTCTAACAAATGCCAAGCAAAATTACGTATCCAATTTGAGAAATACACAGTGGAGTAGAAATTCTGGAATATTTATGCGAAATATTTTAAGTTATTCAAATACATGATGTTATTTTCAAAATTTTAATAATCTGCATCGCCCACAACAAAAATATGACCGATGTTTACTACAAATTTTTTTTTATTTTAAGACGTTTTATTAGGTTAGAAATTGGAGAGCACAAATCATGACACCCTTGTATTTAAACAAAAAATATAGTCGCCAAGAATGATTGCAAAAAAAACAAGGAGAAGGTAAGGGATTCGGATTTTTGTAATTTTTTATATTTATGGTAAGTGTAGTTTGGACCTTGAATAAGAATTTTCCGAAGTAGTTCGACGCAACGTTAATAAATTACAGCTAAAGTCACTAGATGCAACACATTATTTAACTGGGAGCGTGGCCTAATTGGTAGTGTTCGGGTCTGACAGATCGCTGGTTAGAGTCCGTTGTGTGACGTTTATTTTTTAAGCATCTAGCTTTCTTTCTTTTTCTTATCTCGAAAATTTTGAACAAACGAAATATTATAAGAACTGTATGTAGGAATATTCTTAGTGTTTGATTAAAATTTTGAGCTAGGTTGTGTGGATCGTCCACCATGTTTAGAAAAACCGTTTACAAAACACACCCGCTCGGGCATAAAAAGTTTTGGTAAATCCCACAAAGGGTATAGAAACATCGAAACTGTGCGATGGAAGGACAATCTTTCAAAATGTTAACAAAATTTGCTTCGACCTCAATATTTTGAAAACAAAATGCACCTGTAAAAACATTTACACAACGTGCTAATGCTTAAAAAATTTCTGCTTCCCATGTTTCTATGATAACTATCATTTTGGCTGATGACACACTGTGTAAAATGTCAAATACTAAAATAAAATTAAAAAACATCCTACTTGCCCATTTTTTTCTTTTTTTTAAGAAACCGTAACTAGTCATTATAATATTTCGTTTGTTCATAATTTTCGAGATGTGAAAAAGAATAAAAAAATCATATGCGTTTTGAAAAAAAAAAGAATGTCACACGACGAGACTCGAACCACTGATCTCGTAATTGTCAGACCCGAGCGCTACCAACTAGACCACGCTCCCAGTTGAAGATTGTTTTGCATCGAGTGGATTTAGCTAGCAGGTAAAGTTTCAAAATTGATTGTCTCGGTAATCTATGAACGTTGTGACGAACTACTTCAGAAAATTCTTATTCAAAGTCCAGACTACACGTACCGTTAATATCGAAAATTACAAAAATCCGATTACCTTACCTTCTCCTTGTAAGATCAATTGGACCTTTTTTATAACATTTTTTGATATCTAAATAATATAATAACTGCCAATTAAGACGATTAGGGTTCCATAATCTTGACAATTTGTTAATTTGTTTTTGTCGTAAGTGTAGTTCGTTCCGATAATAAATTTACCAAATTTGGAAGAGAACTAGCAAAAAGTGATTGTAAAATATGAATTTAAAGAAGTACTTCGGGTTATGTAACTCCGTTAATATTGAGCTTTTAAAAAAGTGTTTCGGGAAGTTATTTTTAAGAGCACAAGTTTTGGCTCGTATTTCCCGGACATCCCGTATATATTAAATGCTGAACAACAAATCGCGTATCTTAATATTAACGATCTTAAAATTGTGGATTTACAGTGAGGTTAGGGGTACACATTGGGCAAGACGTGAAAGGATCTCGAAAATGCTCGCTTAAAAAAGCAATGTCAATAAAGCGTATCGGGTAATTCTCTTACAATAAAAATAAAAAGTATGGTCAAAAACTTAATAGTATTCGAAAGATACACAAAGAGGTGCAATACATTTTTAATTATTGTACAAAATGTATAATACTTAATATTTAGAAGCTTCCGAATAGTCGTCATTGACCTTTGTATGTATCTCTTCTTAAAAAATTAACAAAAATACATTCACCGTTTCATAAATTAATAATAATTGGGGTTCTATTGGGAACACAAACTTATAAAAATTGTCAACTCACCATAAACGGGACCACGATGCGAAAAACTTTGAACTAAAACATACACAACAAAAACTAAATGTATATTACCTTTAAATTTCATAATGCAATTAATATTTAACCAAATCTGACAATGTTGGGAAATTGTAGGCATAAAAAAGTCTGATTAATAAAAATGATGTAAATTGACTTCTATCTGTCGCAGTTTCAACCAGCCCATTAACTTCGCCTTAACAAGGTTACAAAAGCTAAAAATAACTACAAATGATTAAAAAAAAGAATGTATAATACAAAATGAAAAAAAAAAATCATTATTTATAATAAAGGAGCAAACGTAAGCAATTAACATTACTGACTGGCCGAAAAGAAATTCAATTATTTTTCCAAGTTCCACAGTCCAAATAAGATTGCACAAAGATTTAACTAAAAAAAAAACTATTCTATATCTAAAAAAAAACTGTGGAAGATCTGTACTCAATCGGTAGACTTTACGCAAAATAAAACTTGACAAATCAATGTAAAAAAATATCGTACAGGTCTCTATTTATTTCACATAAAGTCGATAATATAATATAGGGCTGTCGATCAATAGATCGGCGGCGGAAATAAATACAATAAAGAAAATAATTTATGACGCTTCACACATTTTTTTATAAAATACAATAATTATAAGCTAAGGTAGTAACAACTAAATAATCAACTAGTTTCATATATTTGGAGAAGGGGCGAAGTAGTGAGCAGCCATTTTGGAAAATTCATCTTAGGCTTGGTTCCAGTAGGACGCTTGGTAAGGTTGCTTTGCTCCAGCTTTAGCCTGGTTCGAAGCCTGAGAACGTTGTCCGCCAGTGTTACCGGAATCCTAAAAATGCCGATTTTTACTCATTTCTCTCGTTCGTAAGCGAACTCGATACATTTCTTTTTCTTTTTATAACACCTTCATTAAAACTAGTGAAAGTGAAACATGAAAACGAACATCACTAGATACAAAATGAAAGCCAAGAAAAGTTATATGTTCATAAATACGTCTATCAAAAACACATACTGTGTGGCCCATTAATTAGAACCAGGATGTCCTCGGAGAAATTTTTTTAATTTGAATATTGAATTAATTTTTCTTTCAATCACATTAAAATCTAGTTGTATAGTCTTTTTATAACTTACTTTCAAATTAAAAAAATGTGTGTCCCAAAAATAAAACTTTGAGGAATGTTCTGATTTTTATAGGCCATACTGTATGTAAAGTGCATTTTTTACTTTTGTTAATTTATTGGAAATTTCTGTAATTACATTCAAAGGAAGAGCTTTACACGTTTTTTAAATATTTAATAATTATTAGACTAACAAATCAAAATATTAAAAATACAAATGTTACTGATATTATTCGTCAAACATACATGCCACAATATTTAGAAATGTACACTTGATACAAAACAAAAACATTCAGTTATTAAATATATCCAACAATTAAACTTTTGTACTTTCTTTTAGCCTATGTTGCAAAAACAACTGTACTAACACCAGAGGTAAAAATTTTTAGGAAAAATTGGGTGCTGGAAAATGCTTTTTCCTAGAAAAATTGAAAAATTAAATAAAAAAAATTGAGTTGCAAAAACAACTATAATATCACAGGTAAAAAATTTTTGGGAAAATTTTGGAGCTGGAGAAATTTATTTTACCAATATAAATATATTATTACTTATTTATAACAATAATCTTTAAAAATTAGTTTAATAAAACAAAAATATATACTATTTCCACTTTTAGAAGTTATGAAGATCTTCCTTATGTTATATTTTGTTAATTTTCAAATTTGGTTAAAAAACGCTTTAAATTTGTTATTTTGGCTATTTTATTTGTTTACTCATGGAAAATAAAGATGCTGTGTTCATTTTTTGTCAATTTGTGTTTGTACTCTAATTTGGGATTTGGAGGATATCCTGAACCGAATATAACGAGCGTTCAAATAAAAACGTAGTCAAGTTGGTTCTGAAAATTTGGACGTAGGGCGTAGCATATAGCAAATGAACTTAAACGTCATCTATCAAAGCGCTATAACGCCGCTATCAATTTGAATATTTTCGTTTTAAAAAGCGTTTAAAATGGTGTTTTCTCAAGAACAAAAAGTGTTTATCATAGAGTCCTACTTTAGAAATGGACGCAAGATTGATGGAATATGGAAGTATTCTATTGAGGAATGTTTCATAGAATTTCAAAATCAATTTCCCGGCGTTGTTGAGTACAAAATTTTTCAAAGTGCAGTTCAGCGTTGTGTTAATGTTTTTCGTGAAACGGGCAGTGTAACAAGAAAAGAAGGAAGCGGCCGACCTAAAAAGCGGACTGAAGAATTAAAAGAAAATGTCCAACAAATAATGGAAAATGCGCCAAGAACTTCTGTACGTGTTTTATCACAAATGGTGGGAGTATCAGTCGGTACCTGCCACACAGTGTTAAAAAAAGATTTGCGTTTGTTCTCCTATCGTTTAACTTGTCAGCAAGAACTTCATGAAGTTGATTTTCCGCGACGGGCTGTATTTTGTGAATGGTTTTTAAACAACTACGGTGAACTTCATAATATCACCTTTTTTTCTGATGAAGCCTGGTTTCATTTAAGTGGTTACGTAAACTCACAGAATATGAGAATGTGGTCTTCTGAAAAACCAGATAACTTTTTTGTCGAGGGCCCTCTACACGCTCAAAAAATTGGAGTTTGGTGTGCTCTCAATCGAAGGAGGATTTATGGACCTATTTTTTTTAATGGTACTCTTACTGCGCAAAGGTATAGAGAAGAAATTATCGCTCCTTTTGTTAACCAGCTGGAAGAAAACGAAATTACAAACTTTTACTTTCAACAAGATGGCGCAAGGGCACATACGGCAGGCGAGACGATGAATATGTTGAGGGAAGTTTTCCAAAATCGACTAATAAGTCTCAATGCTGAACATGAATTTCCACCGAGGTCATGTGATATTACGCCGTGTGATTTCTTTTTGTGGCCTTACCTTAAAAACACTATTTTTGAACTGCCTATTCCTGATTTAAACCATCTGCAGGCTCGACTTATAGACAAGATTCGTGAAATTAACAATACCCCGAGCATCTTAGAAAATGTCTTTAATTCTTTGAGGAACAGGTGTGAAAAGTGCTTGGAACAAGGAGGGGGACACTTTCAGCAGCTGCTTTAATTTATTGTTATAACAAGGAGGGGGACACTTTCCGCAGCTCCTTTAATTGTTTGTTATTGTTATCACGATTATTCTTTAAAATAAAGTTATAGTCATTAACGTTATTGAAACTGACAGCTGCTATACAGCTCGTTGAGAAATGAAGTTAAGTTGGTCGCTATAAGCTACTCCCTACGTCCAATGTGTCAGAGCCAACTTCGACCACGTTTTTATTTGAACGCTCGCTACAAGGTGGACCATTACTGTGAGAAAGTAAAATAACTCCCTTGTTATTCGTAATACAGAAAAAAAGTTTATATAAAAGTTATACTTAATCAAGAAATGTAAAGAACAAAATTAATCTGAAAAACACAGGGTGTTGAGTAAAAACGGGACACGCCAAATATTACATTTTTTAAATGGAACACCCTGTATATTTTTTAACATGGATTTCTGAGAAAATTCAATATATGGCAATATAAGCAGTTTAACATTTTAGTGCGGGGTTACCAAGTTATGTAGAAAATTTTTTGAATTTTGGAAAAAACATGACCTCGAAGAAGTTAACTACTATTAACTTTCAACTACTAACACTTGGAGCAAAAATATTTGACACAGTTTTAGGCAAATGTCAGGCAAAGACTCCTATATTAGCTAATATCGATACTTTATACAGGGCATTTTTTATAATACGATCATTTTAAGAAAGTTCAGACTTGATTTTCTAAAATTTTTCAAATGGAACACCCTGTATTTTATTGTTCTATTTTATTCACATATCAGTCCACTTCAACTTTTATGAAGGATGTTCTACACCTAAAGTAGTTAGTTTTTAACATATAGCAACATTTGTGAAAAAACCTAATTTTTATTATTTTCGGTCACACGAAATGGCTTTGGAAAAAACTGTCACATCGTGTAAACTTGTCAGTTCATAATATATCATTCCATTTTGAGTTCATTTTATTAGTTAATATTTATTTGTGGTATTCTATAAAATAATAAAATAAGTTTCTTCAGAAATGTTGCTATATCTTAAAAACTAACAATTTTAGATATAGATCATTCTTAATAAAAGTTGAAGTGGACCGATATGTGAA